ACTTACTCAGTTTGTATGCTGAGCAAATAATCTGAAAAACTGGATTACTTGGATTACATGCCAAGAATAATCTGAGAAACTGGATTACATGCCAAGAATATGGCATCAGAATTGGACAAAGACTCATTAACAACCTGGGATGACATAACTTTGCTTGCTGAAAGCAGAGAGGACTTGGAGTACTTACTGATGAAGATCAAAGACTATTGAAAGCCTTTAGTATGATTTGCACCTCAATGAAAAGAAAAGAAAAATCATCACAACTGAACCAATAAGTAACATCATAATAAACAGAGAAAAGATTGAAGTTGTCAAAGATTTCATTTTGCTTGGATCCACCATCAACACTCATGGAAGCAGCATTCAAGAAATCAAATGATCTGTTGCATTAGGCAAATCTGTTGCCAAAGCCCTTTATAAAGTGTTTAGGAGGAAAGATGTTACTTTGAGAACTAAGGTGCGCCTGACCCAAGTCATGGTATTTTTAATCACCTTGTGTGCTTGTAAAGTTAGACAGTGAATAAAAATGACACTAGAAGAATGGATGCATTTGAATTATGATGTTGCAAAGAATATTAAAAGTACTCCTAGAAGAACAAACAAATCTGTCTTGGAAAATATCCAGCCAGAATACTTCTTGAAATGAGAATGGCGAGACTTCGTGTCTCATATTTTGGGTATGTTTTCAGGAAGAACCAATCCCTGGAGACGAACATCATGGTTGGTAAGTTAAGGGTCAGTGAAAAACAGAAAGACTCACACCAGCCTTTATACAAAGTTCAAAAAACCAGAAAACAAGTAACTGGCAAGGGTGTAGAGAGACTGGAATCCTCCTGTGCTGCTGGTGGGACTGTAAAATGGTTCATCCACTCTGCAAAAGGCTATGGGACATCCTCAGAAAGTTGGAAATAGAAATAACTTATGACCAAGCAATTCCTCTACTTGTTATATATCCACTAGAAATAAGAGCCAGGACACGAGTACATATATGCACACCGGTGCTCATAGGGGCACTATTCACAATAGCAAAAAGATGGAGATAGCCGAAGTGCCCATCAATGTAACAGTGGATAAACACACTTTGATACATACAGTGGAATACTGTGCAATGTTAAAGAATAACAGTGAACCTGTGAAATCCCTCATAACTTGGATGAATTTGGAGGACATTATGCTGAGTAAAATCAGTCAGTCACAAAAGAACAAATATTATATAAGAAGACCATTATTGTAAAAACTTAAGAAAACGTTTTCATACTAAAAGAAACATTCTTTGATGGTTACCAGGAGTTGGAGGGAAGGGAGAGTAATATACTGGCTAGAGGGTAGACACATACATGTTAGCTCAGGTTACAGAGAGGGCAATATAGAAGAAAGAATGATGAAGATAGGTGGAGTCACAGGGAGGTATGTATAGGCTATAGGGGATAGAGGTAAATATTGATTATACATAGCCTAGGGAACAGCAGTACTCTGTGTGCATAGCTACATGGATTGAGACATGGGCTGAATGTGTACAGAAGGGAGAGTATATATATACAAATATATATGTATATGGGTTGAATGCGTACAGAAGGGAGAGTATATATATACAAATATATATGTAGATATATGTTTATTTACACATCCCTCAAATATGTAAGCATTTGAAAGAGAATATTTGTACATAAGTATTTACCTTTCCTGTAAAAGGTTTTGAATGTGGTGGAGCATACAGTGGGCAAAATGATGAAAACTTCCTAGATGTTATCAGACATACTATGGCAGTGAGTTCCTGGGCCTGGGGGCTCAGGATCATAGTCTTAGGAATACCATGATCAGCTGGCATCCCATAATCCACAAAGACGATGTTTTATATCCTCCTTTGGTGAATAGCGTCTGGGATCTTGAAAGCTCATGAGCAGCCAGCCATCTAATGTGAAGCTATTGATCTCTCCATGTACGGAAGAAAGAAGGGTGATAAGAATTGAAGAGGGTTGGAATCAGTTAGTCCAGTGGACCAATGGAATATGTGAACATCAGTCTTCACGACTCTGAGCCTAGAACTAGACGGTGCCCTGCTATCACTACCACCTGCTCTGAAAGGGATCACAGTAGAGGGTCCCAGATAGAGTGGGCAAAAATGTGGAACAAACTCAAAATTTTTTAAAAAAGACTGGGTTTGCTGATCTGAAAGAGACGGGAGTAACTTGAGACTATGGCCTTTGACCACCCTTCAGGTCTGGAAAGGAACTCATCCTTGTCCAATTGCCAGCCAAGCAGTCGATGAATATATAGGGTGGGGGTGCAACAACCCTAGTATGATATGCTCGCCCTGGAATGGTCAATCATTCAGAATCAAAAAGGCAACATTTTCCTAAAGACAAATTGGAAAAGGATTGGGAAGGTGGGAGGAATGGAACAGGAAGCACAGAGAGGAAGTGGATCACTGTCATTGCATGGCGGGGATTGTAATCATTGAGATGAAACAGTGCATGATTTGTTGAGTGTAAAACTAATGATCTTGTCTCTAAACCTTCACTCAATTCACAATAAAAAGTTTAAAAGAGAAAGACCCTCAGTGAGATGGATTTGACATAACAATTGTGAGGCTGGCACAGGAGCAGGCAGGGTTCCGTTTTGTTGTGCACATGGTCACTACTATGAGATGGACCCAGCTGGATGACACCTAACAACAACAGCAACAGCTGTCTTTGCTCTGCTTGTGAGGTTCCAGGTAGTTACAAAAAATGATCAAAAGGAAATCTAGTGGGGAAAAAAGTGGTTTATTGCTTTCATTAGTTTACAAAAGCCAAGGTTTTCTCTGGAAACTGGCAGGGTTGCCTTAGAAAAACCTTTTCTTTCATCATGACGGCAGTTTCCTGATTTGTAATATGGCAGTGCCTACTACCATACTTTGCACATCCATTGTAGGGCTCTGATAACGCTAGGTGGATGGATAAAATTGTTTTGAGCTTTCTGCAAGGCTTAGGAAAAGGAAAAATTATAAATTTGATCTTAGGTATTTATATGGTAAAATCCATACTTTGCTAGCTTGAAAGACGCTTGTAATTCATCCATTGATTCATGAAACATTTTATGAGCATGTGTCAGACATTATACTAGGTGTTGAGGATGCTGATGTGAAAAAGATGTTTCCTGCGTAAATTTCATTAGTCTTACAGGAGAAGTTAGACATACAAATAGACAAATACAAGACAACATGGTAAGTGTGTGATAATGGATATATATATATACAGATTACAATAATACCACTACACTTTGACAGTCAAGTGTAATCCAAGCCCAAACCTATTGCCAGTGAGTCAATTCTGACTCATTTGTTGTTGGTGTTAAGTGCCATTGAGTTGGTACTGACTCAGAAGGACCCTGTGCACAACAGAACAAAACACTGTCTGGTCCTGAGCCAACCTTACAATTGTTTCTACTCTTGAGCCCATTGACAATATTCTGGTGCTTTTCATCATGTTTCAGAACTCAATATTCTGGTGTTATCTGACAGGGTTCCACTGCTGCTCATAAGGTTTTTACTGACTATGCACAAGTAGTCTGTCTCTCCTTCTAACTAGCCTGTCTTTGTCTGGAAGCTCAGCTGAAACCTGTCCACCATGGGTGACCCTGCTGGTATTTAAAATACTGGTGGCATAGCTTCCAGCATCCCAGCAACACGCAGGCCACCACAGTACAACAGACTGATGGACGAGTGGTGGTTCTGACTCACAGTGACCCTATATAGGGTTTCTGAGACTGTAAATCTTTATGGAAGCAGACAGCATTTTTCTCCTGTGGGGCAGCTGGTGTGTGTTTGAACCACCAACCTTGAGGTTAGCAGCCCAACCAGGATTCCTTTTAAGTAGAGTGTTGCTGTTAAGTGCTGTTGAGTCAGTTCCAACTCATACCTACTCGGTGTATAGGGTTTCCAAGGAGCAGCTGGTGGGTTTGAATTGCTGACTTTGTGGCTCTAATCAACCTGTGGACCAGTGCTTATCCTACAGTGCCACATCATCAGTATAATCTGATGGCTAATTTAAAAAAAAAGGTCTGCATACAAATAGTGCAGAACTAGGAAGACATAGGAAAGTAAACAAAATGAATTCAGCTTTCCTTTCATCCCTGTTTGCCAGCCTACCCAGTTGCCTTCCTTAGAGAAAGCTATTATTACTAGTTGCTATGTAATACTCCAGATATAATCAGAGTATAAATATGCATATATAGAGTAATACGTGAAAAATTAAAACCAGTTTTCATTTCTATTTATTTTTTTTAATGAGTATTGACATATAGTAAAAAATTTTCAAAAGTAAATTCAAAGATGTAGAATAAATTACAATCTGTTTTGATTTGTTATTTTAAATGATATGATTTTGGTGGAAGGCCTACAGAGCATTTTAGGTTCCTGTTCAACAGTTTTATAAGTTGTTCAGTGACACTGGTTACATTCTTCACAGTGTGTGAGTGTTCTCAGTATTTCTGGTCTGTTATCAACCACACAGCCTATTTTTATGTATTAGGCAGGTTGTATTTTCATGGGCAGGAACTGGACCTCACTTCCTAAGCCAAGCAGGTAGCTGTATTCAGGCATTCACTGTGGCTGCTGGAATAGCCCCTGAGTCTCAGTGGTTTTCACTTTAAGAGCTTGTTTCTTGCTTATGCCACAGACCCAGGAGTTCTCCAAGGGATTGAGGCCCCTCCCACAGTGTAGCTCTGCCATCACGGTCCATCATTTCTGGCTGCACAGATTGGAAAATATGAACTAAGTAAGGGTTATTATAGAGGGGGGTTGGGGGACCAGGTCTGGAAATAGTAAAAACAGCACTTCATCAAATTCCATTTTCCATAACTGGTCACAGAGCCAATCCTAGCTCCTAGGAAGGTTGAGCATGCATTCTTTTTGTGTATGCTCTGGAAGAGGAACAGGATTGGTGAGCTATTCTCTGCCCTCGTGGTCTGATTCCTTACACTGGATTCTAACCTGGATATCTCTTCTCTCTCCACTGTAGGTAGTATACCTGGCCAGTGACACCTTCAACTATAGTGCCATTGATCGAGTGAAGTCCAGGGGCAAGAGACTTGCACTAGAGAAAGTGCCAAAAGTTGGGCAGCGGTTTAACCGCATTGGTCTACCACCAAAGGTATGGACTGAGGTTCTGAACCTGTGTGGCTTGTCGCAGGTGAGATGTAATACTTTCTAGTGGCATAGTCATCCAAATGATAGAGCGGAGTGCCTGCAGACTCAGACTCACGAATGACACGTGAAGGATCTGAGGTCTGGGGACTAGTTCTTTTTACTCCACTTTACTCCTCTGAGCCACTGGGATGGCTTCTTGGGTTTATGTGGGCAGATCATTATTACACCCTGTTCTCTGAGTCTACTCCACAGGGTCTTCCTTAGGGGGTACCGGACTGATTCCTGCGGCCTTTGGACTTGGGCTGTTGGGAAATACCTTTGTTCCTGACTCTTGGTTACAGGTCGGTTCATTCCAGCTCTTTGTTGAAGGCTACAAAGACGCAGACTACTGGCTGCGTCGCTTTGAAGCAGAACCGCTCCCTGAGAACACTAACCGGCAACTTCTGCTGCAGTTTGAGCGGTTGGTGGTGCTGGATTACATCATCCGCAACACTGGTGAGCAGCTGTGGGTGGTGGTCCCACAACCCATGCCAGACTCTGGAGGCACAGGGGAGGGAGGGGCTTGGGAGTCAGAGTGTCTCTATCAGGGTGAGAGAGAGTCTTTTAAGTCAGAATGATCATGCACATTTGTGGATGGACTTGGAAAGTACTTCCCACCCCAGGCTTTGTCCAGACAGGTCACATGTTGTAATCAGAGGGGGTGAGGTCCGAGCAAGTGTTGACGTTTATCTTACCTTCTTTCCTGCTCCCAGACAGAAGACACTTGGCTCTTCCAAGCTCTGTAAAGAGTGCTCTTAACCTTGATCCCCAGTCTTTTGTGTAGTATCAGTATCCTGTCTTTTTCTCACTTCTTGAAGTAGATGCTTAGCTCACTGATTTTAGTTTTTCTCCTTTTCTAATATATGCATCTTAAGACTTAAATTACATTTTAAGCATAGCTTAAATGCATCCTACAGACTTTTTTTTTCATTGTGATCAGTTTAGAATATTTTCTAATTTCCTTTGTGGTTGCTTCTTTGACTCATAAAAACCCAGCTCACTGCTACTGAGTTGGTTCCAACTTGGGGTGACCCATAGGCTTCTTAAAAGAAGATTTAACTGTTTATCATAGAAAGTTTTAAACGTATAAAAAAATAGAGTGGTGTAACAGATCCCTATATACCTGTTACCAGCTTAAGCATTTAGTATGTAAGGCCCTCTCACCACTGCCTCCATTTCCTGCTGAGTTTTTATAAAGCCAACCCCAGACATCATATCAGCATGTCCTTGAATGCTTCCATATGTTCTCTAAGTGTTAAAGACTCACTTTTCAGTATTACCACCATATAATGTGGTACTGTAGGATAAGCACTGGATTGGTAACAGCAGGGTTGGTGGTTCAAACCCACTGGCCACTCCTTAGAAACCCTATACATGGTCGCTATGAGTTGGAAGCAACTCGATGACAGTTACCAGCAATGAACTATCAGTGTTCAGATTTCCCCAACTGACTGAGAAGTGTTAAATGTAGCTGATTTGTTCAAAGAATGATCCAAGCAATGATCCAGCAGTGATCCAAACAAGGTCATCTGGTAATATGCTGAAGTGTCTTCATTTTTTAAAGTTCCACCTTAATTTTTATCCCTTTTGCCTTTCATTTGTTGCAAGAACGGGATTATTTGCCATGTAGAATTTCCACATCCTAGATTTGGGTTATTTACATCCCTTTGGTATGGTTAAGTGCCTTAAAGTGGATTCTGACTCACAGCGACCCTTTATAGGATTTCTGAGCAGTGCCTGGTAGGTTTGAACTGCCCACCTTAAGGTTCAAGCCAGCCTTGTTGGTCTAGTGCTTTTCCTACGGCATGTGGTGTAATAGGCCCTTCATCCCTTGTTTCTTGTAAGTGGATAGTTAGTTCTAAAGGCGTGTCAGATTTGGGTTTCTATGTTTATTTTGACATAATTTCACAGTACTAGAAACATTGAAAGATAATATAAAGAATTCCTATGTAGTCTTCATTCAGGTTCTCTAAAAGTTAACATTGTACCACATTTGCTCTGTCGTCTTATATTAGAGTACTGTGTATATGCATATATACATACGTATACCCACTCCTAACTTACTGGCTCGGTTAGATTTCAAAGACCAGATCATTATGCAAAAATTGGCATTGTGTGAAACTTAGGATAGCCTAAGTTAGCCTTGCTATACTGCCCTTTATATTGGATGTTAGCCCCACCCTCGAGGCAATTCCTTTGTCAACTTGATTGGCTGCCCATTGTGATCACAAAATGGAGGATGACTACATTATTACATAGCTGCCGGATGACATCGTTACATAGCTGCCAAACCACTGAGAATCATAGTCCAGTCAAGCTGATACACAACTTTAACCATCGTAGCCAGTGTTACTCTTACCTTGCAGCTCAGCATTGTTTACTGGCTGATAAATATATCATTAACGTGCAAAAGAGTAGCTATTTTTTACTGTTGTCCTAAATGTGAAATGCTGGATATTGAGATAGTCAACAAGTGATGAGTGGTGTGTGTACATTGAGTATACACTCACACACACATGTCTGCATGTACATGTGTGTGTGTGCATACATGCATTTATTTGTAACAATTTGAGAATAAGTTGCAGCAATGCTGTTTCTTTAAACATAAATATTTCAGTTTATGTATTTCTTAAAAACAATGATATAGTTTATAAAACTCAGGAAATTAACAGTGATACAGTGCTATTATTTAGCTAACCTATAAACCACATTCAAATTTTGCCAATTTCCCTCATTCTTATAGCAAAAGAAAAGTCAGGATTACATGTTAAATTCAGTTTATGCCCTCCCCCCCTTTTTTTTTTTTTAATCTGAAACAATTCTTGTCTTTCTTGGTCTTGAATGACGTTGACATTTTTAAAGAGTACAAGTCGGTCATTTAAAAAATTTCTCTCAAATTTGAGTTGTCTGATGTTTCCTTATTAAATTTTGGTCATGCTGGTTTTGGCATGAATTCCATGAAAGTGATATTTTATTCTCTGTGTATCATGTCAAGAGACACATAATGTCCCATTCCTGTTAATGTTAACTTTGGTTAACGTGGTATCTGTTAGATTTTCTCTACTGTAAAGGTACTGCTTGTTCCTCTGTGGGGAAGACACTTTGAGACTATGTAAATATCCTGTTATTCAAACTTTTTTTCTATCATTGTTGGCCATCTGTTGATGATTCCTGCTGAATCAATTACTACTGTGATGAGTACCAAATGGTGATTTCTGATTCTGTCTTTTCTTCTATATTTACTAGTTGATGTTCTATTGTAAGGAAGGACTTTCTTTTCTCCCCCTTTTATTGATTTATATAAGTACGGACTCATAGATTCTTATTTTATTTAATAAGAATAATTACTTAACTCATTATTTATTTTGGTGCTCAAATTGTTCCAGATCTTGCCAGTGAAAACCCTTTTAATCTTTAATCCTATGTCATTTTGGCATGTCCTCATCATTCTCTGAACACTTTCTTACTTTCTGACATAAAATATTTCAGGTTTCCTGTGTAATTTTCTAGTCCCATCCCTGGAATTGACCATTTCTCCAGAGAACACTTGTTTCTTCTTATTGAGCAATGGTGTTTAGAAGCCAGGGCCAGGTGTTAGGGGTGCTCATTGTTAATGGGGTATCATTACTACTAGGATATATGCAGGTAAGTAAAAAATTATCTACATCTGGCTGTAGAGTTTATTTTAATTAACTTTCAGAAAAGACAGATGCATCATTTTTGACATAGTCTCCATGCTTTTCAATACACTTTGTCCATCTGTCAACAAGCCTTTGTATTTCCTTATTAAAAACTGTTTTAGGCTGAGCTGTGAGCCATGAATGCACTGCTTTCTTCATCAGAGGTGAATCTTCATCCTCAAAGGCCTGTTTTCAGGGGACCAAACAGGTGATAGTCTGATGGAACAAGATGAGGACTATCAGGTGGATGCTTTTACACCACAAAACAAAGTTTTTTTGGAGTGTCAACAGTGTGGGCAGAGGTTCCTGGATGTGCATTTTCATGCAAGATCACAGTGCCCCTTGATAACAATCTTCTGAGTTTAATCTCAAGTTCAGGCTTCAGCTCTTCAGTGAGCATCTCACTATAACCAGCTCGGTTGATAGTGAACCTTTTTTCTGATAATGTTCCAATACTGGCTCTTGAGAATCCCAGAAAACTGTAAGTATCAATTTTCCAACTGATGGTTGACTCTTAAACTTTTTCTTGGTCAGTGATTCAGGATGTTTCCCATTTCATACTCTGTCATTTACTCTTAGGCTTGTCACCAGTAACAATTTTTTAAAGAAAAATTGTTAAAGACTGGCCCTTAGAGTACCAGTCCAAATTTTATTTGCCGATGTCCAAATGCTCCTGTTGATGCTCTTCTGCGAGTTGTTTTGATCCCCATTTTGCACAAACTTTTCGAAACCCAGTCTGCTATGGATTATTTTATAGGCAGAGCCCTGGCTGATTTGCCACATAATCCACTGCCACTCATCTGTTTCACAGAATCATGGACGTGAATGGGCATTTTAATATAACCGACGTGTAGATAATTTTTGACTCACACTCGTATATGTACATATATACATGTACATATACACATATATACTTATTTACATACAAACATATATGAGGGGGCTTCAAAAGTTCATGTTAAAATGTGATGAAAAGATAATAGAATTTTTCAATGAACTTCTGGAAGCTCCCTCCTATATATGCAACTCTACAAAATAGTGTCATTATTATTTCTGTTATTAATAAACTTTTATTGTGGAGATTTTGAAACATACACAAATAAGCAGAATAATGAGCCCTCACTGTCAGTGGCCAGTCCTACCTCATTCACACTCCTTTTACTTGTCTGACTTGAGTTATTTTCATGCAAGTCTTACATACGATATAATTTTATTTGCAATTATTTCTTTGTGTTGTTGTTGTTAAGTGCCCTTGAGTCAGTTTGTAACCCATAGTGACCCTGTATAGGGTTTCCGTTTTGTATCTCTAAAAGATAAAGGACTCTTTAATGTAAAAAAGCCATCAGTATACTACTATCACAAGGCGCTCTGGTAGCGTAATGGTTATGAATTGGGCTGCTAATCTCACGGGAGAAAGATGAGGCTTTCTGCTTCCGTAAAGATTTACTGCCTTGGAAACCACGTACAGGGTCGCAATGAGTCAGAACCGACTCCACGGTACATAACAACAACATACTACTACTATCACACCTTAACACAATTCACAATATGTTTATCTACTTTATTCAAAAAGTCCTTTTTGCATCTCCACCCTGCCACTTAAGATCCTTTCCCTTTGACTGGAGAATATTTTAGCACTGGCCTGCTGGTGAATTATCTGTGTATCTGAAAATGTCTTTATTTTGGAAGAATATTTTTGTTGGGTATAGAATTCAGGGTAGACAATGATTTTATTTCAGCAGTGTGGTGGTGGGGTAGGGGTAGGGGGTAAAGCTGTCCCTTGTCTTCCTGCTTCTATGGTTTCTACTGAGAAGTCAGTTTTCATTGTATTGTTGCTGCTCTGGAAGTAATGTGGCTCTCACTTTCTTCCTCACTTTAAAATGTTTGATTTTCAACAGTTTTGCTATGCTCTGCCATGCCTAGGTATAGTTTTCTTTGTATTTATTTTATGAGAGATTAACAGGTTCCTCCTCTGCCTTTGAGGCCCAGCCTTAAGTGAATGGCTCATTCCTCAGCCCTCCAAATTCCTGTGCGACATTATATGCACCATGTATTACCATACACACACATAGGCTATATACATATATATCTAACATATTACATGTAGCTGGAGTCTCAGGAAAGGAGAATAAAGTGAAGTAGAATTAATATTTAAAAATAACAGCTGAGACTTTTCCAAAATGGACAAATATAGCTTGTAATCATTTGTCCATTTAGGAAAATTCTCAGAAGTTACTTCTTTAAATATTGATTGTACTCCATTTAATTCTTCTCCATTTTCTCTTTTCCTGAGATGCTAGCTACATGTATGTTAGATATACATGTATTTATATATCCTTTTTCCCCTGCTGTGTGCTTCATTCTACTATCTTTTTCTGGTTTGTCTTCCAAAGCACTCTTTCTCTAATGTGATTTACAATTAAACTCATCTACTCAGTTCTTAATTTTGATTATAGAATTTTTAGTTCTAGAATTCCTACTTGATTCTTTTTTTATAGACTACTGTTTTCTGCTGATGCTCTTAATCTTGCCTTTTATCTTCTTGAATGTTTTGAAATTTGTATCAGGTGTTTTTCTTCTTTGTTTTTTATTTATATGTCATTATGTCTCTTTCTGTGCCTGGTTATTTTTGATTGTTAGGTATTATATATCAAAGATTGTAGAAATATTTGGAGGCTAGAATACTGATCTAAATCCTGTCTGGAGAGAGATTTGTGTTTATCCAGCAGCTAGGAACCCCAGCAATCTAGGATCACTTTAGTGTAGCTTCAGGTATTGAGGAGAAGCTGGATTTACTTTCAGGGTATAGCCCTTTAGGTACTGGATTGAGAGTTTTGTCTCTGTAGCTCTGTTAGAATACTGTTTTACCTCTCAGTCTCCACGTCTTTTCAAATAACAGGTACTCAAGAACCCATAAATACTGGCCTCCCTTTCTTGGCTTCTTTTCCAAATCCTGTCACTATAGTTTTCATGGCTTTGTTAATAATTGTTCTCAATAGAAGTTCGAGTCCATCCAATGTTGGGAAAGTTGAGGGGAGTATTTTTTTTCTTGATAAAAGAAAATGAAGGCTAAGGGGGCTGCGGGGTGGAGATTATTCTGCACCCATGGAATGACGCCAAGTGTATGATTTGTTCATGTGAAACTGCTGGTCTGCTCTGTGAGTCTTCCCTCAATTCACAATCAAAAGTGAAAAAAAAAAGGGTTAGTGGTCCAGGCATCCAAAAGATCTAGTCTATCGTTACTAGATGTGTAAGTAGTTACCCCAGTTTTCTCTGCTAACTTTGCTTCTGTCCACAGATCGAGGCAATGACAACTGGCTGATTAAGTACGACTGTCCAATGGATAGTTCTAGCTCTCGGGTAAGCGGCTGACCTGCTATCTTGAAGGATGTGGAAGGGTGTCTGCATGATATGGAAGCACAGAAACCATGTGAGACTTCTGAAGTCACACAGAAGAATCAGAATGCCACATGTGTTTAAAATTGACAGAAAAGTTAATATTTGCCATTGCCTTTATTGATTTTTTTTAGTCAGCTTAGTTTTTTTAGAGCCGTTTTAGATTTACAGTAAAATTGTATAAGAAGTGTAGCAAAAAAGTAAACTTTTTGACCATGGAACACTTTTATCACAAGAGGCCACAATTCCACAGAACAGTTGTTTAGGAAAAGCTGCCACTGGCTGTACTCTCTTGTTCCTTGATCCTTTACCACACTTCTCCATCCCTCCTCAGTCTATGTGGCTTTTAAATGAGTGGGACGGCTTCCTGGAGAAGAACTTAGGAGGTTTTTATTCCTCATAAGGCTTTTTGCCTCCTTTTCTAATAAAAGGAGACTTCTAGAAGTTCGTGGAAAAATAGAATGAAAAGATCATTTTCCCATGTACTTTTTGTAGCCCTCTCTTACACGTAGCCCCAGCTGTTACAGTTCCAGTGACACTGCTGTGAGTAAATTGGTTCTGCTGTGTGTGAGGCAAATACATCATTCTCTTTTTTAAGTTATCATTATTATGGTATATTATGATCAGTATCTTTCTGAATCTAATCTTTATTTGCCTTTGGGGGTTGATAAGAATGATACCCTCAGCAAATTGCAAGCTGCAACAATGTAGTCCATATTATTAACAATATAATATAAAAAAAAAAATTAAGTGCGGGTTCACTGTAGCTGAAATATGTCATAAGTCAGGGACTCCCTGTAGTGGTTCTTGAATTCCTGGGGGATTCTGATGGGAGTGTCCTGGAAGCACAGTCCTTAGTCCTTTGATGGCGTCGCTGAACATGAAGGACTGAGTCAGGGAGAGTCCCTGGTTTGGGATGTCGCATGTGTCCTGCCCTACTCTGTTTGCATTCAGCCCTATGCCTCTCCTTTCTGTAGCACCAAAGCAGGGAGGCCTCCCTGTGTGGGAGCAACTCAGTGCTGTTTTCCAAAGTGGTCATCTCACTGAAGAGGTCCACACAAGCAGCATTGATTGTTCTTCTTTTCGTACTCTCAGGATTCTCAGTGCTTTTCCTTAGACATTCTGGTTAGCTCTTGTCATTGCCTTTCCTATCAAGGGCAGTGGCAACTCCTACAGAAGTGTCACCTTTTCCTAAGGTGAGAAAAGGACTCTGAGAACCCTGAACAAGTCAAGTTAGAGATGTGCTCAGTTCCATCCGCAGTGTGGAAGCCAGTGCAGACGGTTGCTCAACATACATTGAATAAGGAGCGTGTGTGAGGGTCTTGAGCTGGGATGGGGATCTCTTCATAGCTAGTCCTTTGCTTTTCAGGACACAGACTGGGTGGTGGTAAAGGAGCCTGTTATCAAGGTGGCGGCCATAGACAATGGGCTGGCTTTCCCACTGAAGCACCCCGACTCCTGGAGGGCATGTAAGTCTCCAGACCACTGTGGTCAGGCTCTTTTCTGGCTCAGTCTCACTTTCCTCATCTGTGCAGTGGAGATAATAGGACCTGCTAGGGTTGTTAGTACAGGTAATGCACTTTAACTTAGAGTCCTGGGGTGGTGCTGTAGGCTAAGCATTGGACCACAGGTCAGTTTGAACTGCAAGGTGGGTGTTTCAAACCCACCAGCCACTCTCAGAAACCCTGTACAGGGCTGCTATGATGCGTAACCAACTCAAAGGCACACAGCAGTGCACTTTAACACAATGACTAGTGCATAGCAACTACTCCATAGTGTAAGAAATTTATATTGTTCTCATTAGAAGCATAAAGTTGTATTTGTCACCTCCATCTTCCATTCTCATTCTTTCAGAAGACTGGCTCATTACAGTGTCCCCTCTGAGGCTGTAAATAGAGGCTGCTGTCAGTGGCTCTTGTTAACATACTGGAAGCCTCTCTACCCCTGTAAAACTAGGGAACTTTGGGGAGGGAGAGAAGCACAAGCAGGGGTCACAGCCTCTGTCTCCTCAGAAGGACATCTCCATGCCTCATTGGTACGAATTGCTTCTACAGAGGCTGGGGTTTGGAAGGACATGTACTGTCTGGGAAAAGAGCACCAGCTCTGGGATTGGGCACACCTGAGTTTAAATCCTAGCTCGCCACTTACTAGTTTAGTATACCTTTAGAGTTAACAACCCTTGTAAGCTTTCTTTCCTGTTGTACCTGGAGGGGTTCTGCCTTGCAGTGTCAATTGCCAGATGACACAGATGGGCAAGGACTTTTAACACCAACTTTGCTTTTGAATCTTCCTCTTTTCAGATCCTTTTTACTGGGCCTGGTTACCCCAGGCAAAAATCCCATTCTCTCAGGAGATCAAAGAGCTGATTCTTCCAAAGATTTCAGACATTAACTTCCTCAAGGACTTGGAGGAGGACCTATATGAACTCTTCAAGGTTAGCCCTGGGAACCTCAGCCTTATTACCATATAAAAGCAGGAATTCATAATGGTGTTTCTCATGGGTCCTGATCCAAGCTGACAGGCAATGGCTAATACCCTTCTGACTTGAGTTAGTCAGCGAAGAGCAAGATTCACATGTCAATATGTGGACAGCAGGACCTAGCTTGGATTGTTTGGAAAGAAATGAAGAGCTATAATAGATTGCACTGGTGTGTATCCTGGACTTCATGTGGCTGCCATGTATTTGCAGAGCTCTCATTTTCAATTGGACTCCTGGTGTGGCGCTGTAGGATCAGCACTGGACTGTGGACCACAAGGTCAGCAGTTCAAGCCCACCAGCTGCTCCTTGGAAACCCTATGTAAGATCACTGTGAGTCTGAACCAACTCAATGGCACTTAACAGCAACATTGTCAATTGGAGCACTAGGAGCCTAGAGTTCTGTAAAGCTAAGAATTTACTTTATTTTCTCATCTGTGACACAGAGAGCTTGGGATGGTAGCTAACTTCTCCAAATCTTTTTTTTTTTAATTGCAAGGTTTCTAATTGGGGGAGAAAATGGGCTCCTCTGAAGGATTCATGAAGGTTTCATCTCTTCTTTTGCAGAAAGATCCTGGTTTCGACAGAGGCCAGTTCCATAAGCAGATTGCTGTCATGCGAGGACAGGTAAGCCTGGGACACCCTCCCGGTGTCTTCTTTGGGGTCTCTTTGGAGAGTATGTGCTTATGTTGAACAAGTGTGTAAAGCTTGTGTGATTTTGTTTTAACTTTTTATTGTGAATTGAGAGGTTTACAGAGCAGATCAGTTTCATACACATTTTGTTTCATCTCATTGATTAATCCCACTTTTTCCTTGTGTTTCCTGTCTCCATTTCTCCTTCGTTCCTAACCCCTCTGAAGTTTGTTCTTAGGTAAATGCTGCCCTTTTTATCTCAACTGGTTGTTTATCCTAAGGTGTGCATTCCTGCTAGTGGTAGTATTCCCCTTGTTTGGCTGAAAATTAAGCCACAGGGGAAAAGTTCAGTTCCATACCTGAAGAGGAGGAGACTGAAGGCCACTGTCTCTGGGGTTCCACCAAGTCTCTATTTGACCAGTAAATCCAGTCTCTTTGGTGTTTTGTTTCATACTTTCTCCCCAGGACCTTGTAATGTGATCCCTCTCAGAACAGTTTGTAGTGGTACCATCTAGTTCTTCTGGTAGCAGGGTTGTGGAGGCTGATGGTTTTGTGGTCCGTTAATCCCCTGAACTAATTGTTTTCATAAATTTTCAGTTTTCTTCACTCTTCTTTCCTCCAGACAGAGAGAGACTCACATTGCACCTTAGATAGCCGTTAATGAGCTCATAAGACCTCAGTCTAAAGCTCGCTTTGGAGCTGCTTTTAGTGTATGTTAGAGACATTTGTGACTCTGCCAATCTCTCCTGTCTTCCAGGTCATCCACTGCTTTGTGATGCATTTAATATGTGCTCATCTCTGTGCCAATGGGTTCTGGAGTCAGATCATTTCTCCACTTAACAAGCTATGTGGTCTTGGGCAGGATAGTAAGCATTAGCTAAGTTGGCTGGAGGATTAAATGAGATGGTGCTTATCAACAGTTTAGTATGACAGTCAGACATTGGCTTTGACTCTGACTTCTGTCGTTACAATCCTACTCATATGATTACTGCTCTTTCTACTTGCCCTCCAAAGGGAGCAAAGGGAATTTAGTACAGTTACTGTTCTAATCTATGGAGTCCTGTGGTGTGGTGCTGTAGGGTAAACACTGGACCGCAAGGCCAATTTGGACCACAAGGTCAGTGGTTCAAACTCACCAGCCGCTCCTTGGAAACCCTATATAGGGTTAATGTGAGTTAAAACTGATTTGATGTCACTTAACAACAGCAATTTTAAACTATAGTCACATTGTAGTATCAGTTTTTTATTTCCTTTTTTTTTAAAAATGTTTTATTGTGAATTATGTGATAGTTTACATAGGAGAACATTAGTTTTACATTCATTCTATCGTATATCATTTCATTGCCATGGTTACAGTCTCCTCCATGCATCATCAACCAACCAAAGGGTATATACTATAAACCTGCACCCTGGTCGTCAGCACACAGCCCCTGTCCCTCTCTGGATCTAAAGTCCCCAGCTGCTCCATCTCTTCATGTCATTGTCTCTACCTCCATCTCTGGCGTCACTGCTTCTCTGGGTAGGGTCCTGCTCTCCGCTCTTCTCCATTGATGGTCCTAGGGACCTCCGCTCCTAGACTGAAAAGTTAATCACTTCCCTTCTTACTATAAAATGTCTACCTTTACATTTCCAACCCTCACAATCAGTCCTGATATCAATTATTCACTATTGTATCACAAGAGACCTATCTGCATTTCCTAGTTCTTACACATTTTAATTGCTTGTTTCTTAGTCTTTAAATTATCAACTACTCCTCTACTTATGGGAACATTGATGCCATTTTCACGATAATAAACAGCCCTGTGTTATATTTTCTGAAACATGTTTTCATATCTATAATTATATCCCCAGTCCATATAAATGGAATTGCTGAATCAAAGGGTCTGTTCAATTTTAAGTCTTTGATTATTATTTTAACTTGTCTTTTTCAGACTATCACAAGTGAAAGTCTCATAACAGTGCCTAATTTTTTAGCTGCACCCAACACCCCATACTCATCCTCATCTGTATCTTTACTAACTGGAAAGGCAAAAAGTAGGTCTTGTATTTCATTTGTAGTTTTTAAATGACTAGGGAGGTTTCCGTTTTCCTAATTGCCTTTCTGTATACTTTGCTAGACTGTTGGTGTGGTTTACCTGATTTGCCATCATCCTTGTGTGTTTCTGTGCTTAGTGACTTGTAGGAACTCCAGCTGCCAGCTTCTTTTCAGATGCAGATCTGGAAGCCATGGACTGTCCCTTACTCTTATTTCCCCACTGCAGATCTTAAATCTGGCCCAGGCGCTGAAAGACAACAAGAGTCCCCTGCACCTCGTCCAGATGCCACCTGTGATTGTGGAGACGGCCCGTTCCCATCAGCGGTCTGCTACTGAATCTTACACACAGAGTTTTCAAAGTCGGAAGCCCTTCTTCTCATGGTGGTAGCCCTGGAGGCTGAAGAGGAGCTTGTGTCTGAGACTTGGACTGGGAGGAAAGCCTGGGGAACAGGTTGCCGGAAAAGCTGGAGAAGCTGGTGTTGACCAGTGCCCTTCAGAGCCCTCCTCTGCTCACCACCCCTCAGGGCTTTCCCAGACACAGGGAGAAGCACAACCCTAGGGAACGTGGGGGCACCCCAGCCCTTCTGAGTGCTGGGGTTAGCTGGAGTTCCCTGCGAGGAGGCCAGATGCCTGGGAAAAGGAGCGTCTCCCTTCCGCATCTCCTGGTGATGGGCTGGGAAACCCTCCCTCGCTTCCCGCTCACCTGCAATTGCTCATTATTGGTTATATTCTGCATCAGAAAACAGCAAAAACAAAACTTTCAATGCTTGTAGCAAAACCCAGGCAGAACCCAAGAACCTGTGGTGTCAGAAACTTCCAGTCCAGATCCACGATTGCATGGACCCAGACATTCCTCCTGTGAACCCAGGCATAGTGCTGGGTCAGACCGAAGCCATACCTTTTCCTTTGGGTTTTTGTTGAGTGTTCTTCCCCTTCTCTCAGCACTGCAGTAAGCCACCTAGAAGCCTCCAGACACGGTTCTCATAGTGGGAGACATTTGCTCTAGACCTCCCATCAGTTCTACAGATGCACTCATGGACCCTCCTTGCTGGGGACCCAGCCTCGCTAAGCCTAGGCCTGTAGCTTACCCATCCCTCAAGCAAAGGAGGATCGGGCTAGTCCTGTCATGTATATTTCATAGGAAGACTCCCCAGCCTGTCAAAGTGAGCCACTTGATCTGAGTGTATGCTAGGAGCTGTGATTGGTTGATGGTGGACCTGCTCCCCGCTTTGTTCCGAGTCCTTGGCCTTAGTTGATAAACTCTTTAGGCTTCTAATTGGTTCCTATCATTTTAAACTTTTTTTTTTTCTTTTCTTTCAGCTCTTAGATGTTCAATTTTGAGTTCTAAGGTGGATCTTGGCGCAAAAGAGGACAGGATATTAGATTCTTGGACTCTCTACCATTGTTGCTTGATGGAAGTGCTGCCGCTTATATTCTGCCTCCTAATTGGCAGCTGCCCTTTGCTCTGATGTCTTTGTCTCCAGCCAGTTTCTCCATGGCTTCTTAAGAAGGTCAGGGCCCCAAAGGAAAGTGGCCTTCAAACTGTCCCCCAGCCCAGCTCAGTGTACATCTTGCTTCCACGAGTCTCTTCCCCTAGCTGTCCCCTTGCCAGATGTCCAAGTCCCTTTCTACACCAAAGTGAAGAACAGCCTCAGGAGGGATTTTAAAAGGTGCCATCTATGGCTGAGGGACAGCTGTGCTCATGCCCTTTGCTACTGGATGCTTCGCAGCTCTGGCACCCTGCGATTGGTCAATCAGCCTTGGAAAGAAACTATCTTGAAGGTTTGAAAAAACACCAAAGAGAGGGAGCTAGGACCACAGCTGTGTACCCTCTGTTTGCCAGGACCCAGGAGGCAGAGCTAAGAGGTGGAGGGAGCCCTCTTCAGCTGGTCCCCTTCCATCCAGGTCCAGGAGTGTAAGAGCTGGAAATGCATGCCCTGGGGGGGCGGGGGAGGACTAGATCCCCCACCCACCCCAGGCCTGGCAATCTGACAATCCCATGCAGCCCATTTAGACTATTCTGTGAGCAGTTTGGGAGAACTGCAGTGTGCCGCTTTGCACAGGCAGCCTTACCCAAACATGGAGGTGGTCACACTCTCTGCCTGGAGCTCAGGCAAGCAAGCCTGAGGAGGCTAGAGAGAGCCTGGTGCCCTCACACAGCCAAATGCACAGTGTTCTGGTTCAGACCAGCTCTGTGACCAGAAGTGGGGTCCAATGTGAGAGAGTGTGGAGTGTCCTGCCCTGGCCCATCTCTGCTCTCCCTTGGAGCCTTACTGTTTGCCTTGAATGTAGACTTGGGGTGAGCCGGTGGCCCAGAACCAGGGCAGGCTTCTAGAGGTAACTTCTGGTGTCAGGGAGTAGAGGCTCGGCTGATGCTGCTGCCCCTGTATTGTTCTTCTAATGCACTGTAGAAATTGTATGTAATGTATTTAAATCACTGTAAATGTATGAATAACAAACCCAATTCTCATAATTTTCATCCAGCTTCTTTAGGGGAGGGGAGACAGGGTGGAATGTACTTCAGAGGACTAAAGCTGTTAGTGTTTTCCCAGAGTTGCTGAGGCCAAATTAGAAATGTGTGCCATCAGTCAATTCAGTACAGTAGAACTGCCCCATAGGGTTTCCTAGGCTGTACAATAATAAATGCTGCTTCAAACCCACCAGCTGCCCCTTGGAAGCCCTATACTGGGTTGCTGTGAGCTGGAACCGACCCAACAGCACTTCCAACAATCAAGTAAGCAGGTCACCAGGTCTTTTCTCTCATGGAGCAGCTGGTAGGTTCCAGCCACCCACCTTTTGGTTCGCAGCTGAGTGTTTAACCATTTGGATCACCAGGGCTCCCTTGGTAGTGAAGCAATTGATAGATCGATTATGTGTAGAGTCAATTCCAACTCAGTGACCCTGTACAGGGTTCCCAAGGCTGTAAATCTTTACAGGAGCAAAAAGTCTCCTCTTTCTCCCATAAAACACCTGGTAGTTTTAAACTGCTGACCTTGAGGTTAGTAGCCCAACTCGTAACCACTGTGGTCCTCAATTCCAGAGCTCTGTCCCAGAAAAAGTATTTTTATAACTCATTTGACACCCAACCCTGGCTTATTTTTGATGGTGGTGGTGGTAAGTGCCATGAGTCAATTCCAACTCCTAGTGAGCAGGTGGTAGGTTTGAACAGTTGACCTTGTGGTTCACAGTCCAGTGCTTATCCAACAGCACTACACTGATTCAGCAGCACTTATCAACCATCAGGTAAGCAGGACCCAAGGTTTTCTCTCATAGAGCAGCTGGTAAGTGCTGTTGAGTTGGTTCTGACTTATAACGACCCGGTATAGAGTTTCCAAGGAGCGGCAGGTGAATTTGAACCCCTGACCTTGTAGTTCAAACCGACCTTGCAGTCCAGTGCTTTATCCCACCACACCACACCAGGACTCATTTTTTATGGCAAAGCCCTATTTATGGTGGGCAGCTATTTATAATCATTATGTGTGAATATTTGTTGCAGAAATATTACTGTCTTGTTCCATACTAGGGATTATAAAGTATACATGTGGGTTACTTTCTCAAAGTAAAAACACATCTGAATTCCAGAAGTATCCGGCCCCAAGGGTGTGGGTGGTATAGATGAGTGAGGACTTGAACTTCAGTGGCAGTGGCTTCTTTTCTCAGCCACGTGTGCCTCATGGACCCACTGGGAGCACAGCCCTGCTCTCCAGTGGGAAGGCCTCTGTCATCAGAGGTGGCAGTATAGCAACTAGAGGTTGGGGAATGAGAAGCTGGAGGCCAGCCCAGCCCTCTTTTCTTCTGGGAGCACTCCCCCCACCCCTCGCCACTCCGGTTTCTGTAACACACTCTGTTCTTGATGCAGATGTTTTTATTTGTCACTTACACCAGTGTCCTTGTGCTAGCCTGACAAGGGGCAGGTGTGGGGGGCGGGCTGCTGGAGCATGAGTTACAGTAGGAACAGGACTGGTGATGTGCTTATCACATGCCTCCTAGGACAACATCATGCAGCCCAGGTGTAGTGTTAGACTGGGAGAGGCTGAGGCAGGAACTGTCCCACATAATGCAGAACCTGTTGGAAGCCTCCAGTCCTGTTCTGAATTGAGCAGGCCAGTGGCTGCAGGTTCTTTCGGGTCCAAGTGGGCCACCTGCCTCAAGTCTCCCTTCTCCACTCGCCAGGCCTTTTGGCAGAAGTCCCTAGGATTCCTGGGGAAGATCCTGCCATTGTCGGCCTCTTCCTGGGATCAGTGTCTGATCTGGTGGAGGTAGCTTGCAGGGCCTGGCTTCCCCCAGTTCTGGCGGATCCTGGCACTTGTCCTCCTAGAGTGTGGATACTGCTCACTGGTGGCTGTCTCTGCGGCACCACTCTGTGGGTCGACCAGTGGAGAGCGGAGCTCTGGGACTCTGTAGGGAACAAATGTGACACGCCAACATCAAGAGCAGGGAGACTGAGAGCTACTAAAGAGGTGTTGGAAGGTGGCCAGGAAGGTAAAGCACATTTACTCACGGACAGATGTTTAGATGCTGGTATTCTATAAGGGATCAGTTGATCCCCTCCCTGCCTCCAAACAATTGCTACAAAATGAGACTGGTGCTCCTAGGCGCCAAGTACCCTTCCTCATGGGAGGGGTCACAGTGGGCTCCAGCGGTTAACAGCATCTGAGATGCCAGCCAGCCAAGCAGTAAGTGCTGTGTAGACCTTACAAGAGCCCCATGATACGTACTTTACAGTGAGGCCAAAACGAACTAACACCTTAAGAGCAGAACTGACCCATCAGGTTTCCAAGCCTGTCATCTTCACCAATGCAGACCACATTACTACACTGGTTTTCCTGTGGAACGGCTGGTGGTTTTGAGCTGCTGATCTTTCAGTTAGCAGTTAAAGTGCTTTAATCACCATGCCACCAGGACTCTTTCAAGATCCCACATCCAGGAAAACGGCTGAGCTGGCATCATCAGTACTCGCCTTCCCTCAGCCTTCCTGTCCTAGGAACTTACCTAAGGCGGCTGCAGTGGTGGGGGGAGTGACCCAGGGATTTATGCCGGGGCGGCTTCTTCCTGCGCAGGCGCTTCAAGGCATCCGCCACCCGGTGGTCCCCTGCACACTCCCAGATGATCTGCGCCCTCTCCTCAGCCAGCTGGTCCCCACTGCGCTGAAACAGACCCTGGATCTGCAGCAGCTCGGCGTCCTGGAAGATGTTGGCTGAGGCCTGCTTGCGACCTCGGGACACATTTGGGGCCTGCCAAGGGGGCGGTTCACTCACCACAGAGGCTGGGGTCCCCATCCTGGGTGCTCTGAGGAAAGAAAGCATGGGGACATCAGCAGCTCAGCAGGCCCCTTCCCAAATCTGGGGTCCCAACGAATGCAAGGGCTTCTGGTGTTTCCATGCCCAAGAGGAACAAATCCCTTGAATGAAATCACCTTGGGGAAATAATGGTAATAGCGCATTTTCTGAAATGCTTATCATATGTTGTTTTTAAATGCCATTGAGTTGGTTCCAACCCATAGTGACGAGTTTGAACCACTGACTTTGCAGTCCAGCGCATAAACCCACAGTACCACATGTTAGACATAGGCATTATCTCACTTAAGACTCAGCAGTCTGGGAGGTAAGCATTATTGTTTATCCCTATTTTACAAATAATGAAGTATGACTTAGAAAAGTTTAAATGACCTGTCTGGGTTCGAACTCACCACCAGCTTTAAGGGAAAAAGACAAGGCAGTCTGTTTCCCTAAACACTTACAGCCTTGGAAACTATGGAGCAATTCTACTGTCTCACAGGGTTTCTAAGAGTTATTGATTCAACAGCAGGGGTTTGGTGGTCACCAAGTCATTTGTGAAAAGTGCAAAGTCAAGAGTAGAATAGAACCCAGGTCTGACAGCTCTAAAGTCCACACCTGAGACCAGGTTTCTTGGTGTGGTGCCATGGTTTAATGTGCTGAACTGCAAGGTCGGTTTGAACTACAAGGTCGGCGGTTCAAACTCAACAGCCCCTGCAGGGTCGCTTAAGTCAGAAGCAACTCAGCGGCGCTAAACAACAATCTGTGTCAGACAATATGTATGATCTTATTCAATCCCTAGGCACGGTTATCCTCATCCCAGTTCACAAATGCAAACAGAGGCCGGAACTCTGGTACAAGTCCCAGTGGCACAGCCGAGGCTAGAACTTGTTCTATGTGACTGCAGCTCATGCTTTTAATCCACTGAGTGGCCTTCCAAGTCAAGCAGTTTAAAGCCCACCATCACTTCACACACATTTCAGTGAGGACTGCTTCAATAATTCAGGAATTTTAAACCCTCTAACAGAAAAAGGAAAGGACAATTCCTATGTGTGAGGGAGAGGTGGCGTTCTGGAATGTATTTTATCCAGGGCCAGGGCTATTTACTTTCAGGCTGCACTCTGAAATGATGATCCCCAGCTTCTACAAAGCAAATCTGGAACTGCAACCCAGCCCCATGCACAGAATACTGGTCTGTGAGTCACAACACCGGGTTGGAACCACTCACTTGCTGGGAGGCCTCAGGCAACATTGCCTCTCTGGGCCTGTTTCCTTCTTAACAACAGTAGGAACAGGTTGATGCTGAGAATCAAGGATCCCATGACTGGGCTAGGCCTGGAAGGAAGGAGGAATGGGGTTGCTAGTCAGCCAGGACAATTGCTTGTGTAGACAGGTCCTGCCCAGCAAGAGCCAGGAAACTCTCCTCCCTTCCTCCTTCCTTTGTCCTCCTGGAGTCACGGTACTGTTTTGCTACAGTGGGCTGTGGGAACGGTCTGATAACCAGAACCCCACTGCTACTGAGTCCACTCTGGGGGACGCTATAGGACTGGGGAGAACTGCTCCACAGGGTTTCTAAAGCTGGTACCTCTTTACAGAAGCAGGTGGTCACATCTTTCTCTCTCTGAGTGGCTGGTGTGCTCGAACCACCTACTTTTTGGTTAGCAGTAGTTGAGTGTTCACTGCTTGAAAGCATCCTAGTGAACAAGGATGTGTGATAGTTAAGGTTTTGTGTTAATTTTATGGGTCCAGGATTCCCAGTGGTTTCAGTTGTGATCTGGTTATCTCTGTGGTAAGATCTAATAGAATGTGGTTAACTCTATGATGATTGGCTATGAGCAGCCAATCAAGTGAAAGGATGTTTCCTTGGGGGTGTGGCCTGCTTCCAATGTAATAAGACACTCAGGGAAAGCTTGCCCTTTCTGCTGGACTGGGATCTCAGTCTCAATCTCCCACAGGGTAGTCCTCCAACCTCCAGGTCTTTGGACTTGAGCCAGTGACCTGCTCTACTATTTGCCTGCCTGTCTTCCTGCTGGACCTGTCATCTGATCTTGGTTCATTTGATCTGGACTTGGACTCACCACCTCTCCAACTGTGAGACACTTCCTTGATATAAACTTCTCTTTATATATGTACAAACATATATATATATACACACACATACACACACACACACTTATATAAACTTCACTAGTTTTGCTTCTCTAGAGAACCCAGCCTGAGATAAAGGTTAAACCTGGGGCAAACTGCTAGGCAGGTCTGAGGTGGTGGGAAAAGAGGTGGTGTATCCTTCCTCAGACTCTCTGGAACATTCTCACCTCACCTCGGAGAGAACAGATCAAGTAGCAGCTGCCGCCCCTGGAGGAAATGGTATGGAGCCAGACTTCCCAGACAGTCCCAGCAACCTGCGCAGGGACATAGGACCCTGGCTTTGCAACCCTCAGCTAGTTACAAATTCACCAACAAGAACGATCTAGAAGTATGTCAGCTTCCAGCCTCAACCACACCCTCCTCAAATCAAGGGGAGATCTGGGCACCTCCTAATTTTCAGGTCTCTTACCTTTTATTTTTTGAAAAGTGCCTCTTAAACATAATCGGGGGATGTTGTCAATCATTGGCCACTGATGTGGCCCTGTTGACAGCAAAGTTTTCCATTTCCTTCTTTCTGACGCATCGCAAAACCGTTCAAGTTGTATTGCCGCTCACTTCAGGTTAGTGGCCTCATCTAAGGAACACACTGCCTGCATTTTGGCATACAGCTCATGCATGTGTTGATAAACTCTCAACTTTCTATAATTGTAATCTTGAACTTTGGTGACCACGCCTGCTGACATGAGCACTTGGTAGAAATTCTTTGCAGGGTCATAGGCTTTCTTTGTCATGCGAATCCCCAGCAGGAGATGGTGAAGTCAGGTCCTGTCTTTGAATTCATGAAAGGGACTTCTAAAAGAACAGCATGGTCATCTTGTATTTGGAACTTCACAGCATCCACTGGTGCACAAACATCGCCAAAGCAACCATAGATGTAACCTTGGACTATGAAGTCTGGAGGCACCCTTTGAGATTGCCAGTCTAAAGAAACTTAATACAGAGACATCACTGTTGAGTGTGAGGTCCTGCTCACCTTGTGAACTTGACCTTGGTCTTCTTTCCATCCTTGCTGTCTTTGGGAGGAGCCCTGGGCGTTGCTCCAGGGATCTTCCTTCCAACCCACAAAGGAAGGATTTTAGGTAAGGAAATTGTGTCTCTGGATTGGAGATCTTTCCGTGTCAAACCAATGAAAGAAACTGTGTTTCTCTGAATCACTAGGAGTTGGGCAAGGATGCATCTCACCCTGGTCCAGTCACCCCAGCTGGGGTTGTCTTTTCCTTCAGATCCAAAGTGACAGACAGTCACCTCCAGGACTTCATGGAGATCTCTCGATCACCCCAGGTCATGGTCTTGACTTTGTCTCCACATGTCCTATGAGATTTGCTGTGTGGAACAGCATTTGAAAGATATTAAAATTGGCTCCAATTTCAACAAAGAGGTTTGCAAATTCCTTAAAGACAGCAGACCTTCATAACAAAAAGGCTGTTGGCTCTGTTTTCAGTTCCACAGATGCAGATGGGCCAAGCAGGGGGTCTTCCCTTGTAGATCCAGTCATTTTAAAAGTGGAGGCACTTTTATTAGATCTGGGGACGCCAAGATCTATCTAGGCCTCTCACCCTTGACTCTGATTCCCACCCTGGGATACAGACAGCAAAAGGAGGCTGGGGATAGATATGCGTACATTTCGGGTAAGTTCAGATGATAAGCTTTGGGAGAAATGAATCAGAACACTGCTCTATTCATATTATAAATAGCTTTAAAAATAGATATCATTCAGTATTCAATCGTTACTTTCCAAACAATATGGAAATCCAGGAAAGCCAGGGTACACTTGAACAATGGCACTTTTTGAAACTGGAAAAGGAAACCACAGGGCTATTAAAAGATCACAAATGGAGCTTTCATTTCAGAGCTAACATAAAAGAAGATAAGCATGGATCTGTGAGCGAATGAGTAAAAACGGATTGCAAAACATTTCAATTTGGCACAAATGGGATTAAAAATGAGCCCCCAAAGTAAATGCCAAATGTTGAAATGGACAAAGTTCAACTTATTTTGGAACAGACAATAAGAGAAGAACTGTGGAGCTATAACAAAGAAATATATATTCAAAAGTGACTCACCAGACAATGAATTCACAATATCGAGTCTGGTACACCACTGAGAATTCTTCTTTGTCCTACATGAAGCTTGGTTCAGATGGTTATTCTAGAGGATTCTAGTTCACTGTGCTTTCAGAGAGGCATGGGGAACCACAAGGGATATAGCACCATGTGACTTGAGAAATGCTTGATCTCTACCAGCCTGTCCCCTTTGGATAGCCCTGGTGACTAGCAATCTCGGATCGTCAGAGGCCCGTGGCCACTTTTGAAAAGAACTGGAGGCTAGGGACCAAGGCCAAATCAACATCTGTTGTCTTGGTTTGTTTCCTTTTACAAGCATGCCACTGAACAGCAGCCAAAGCCTGTGGCTCCTAAGGGGAAGGACCATTTTTATATACATATGACTGGGAGAACTGAACACATGTCGGCCTCGGGATCTGTTACAGGAGGCAGAGAGAGGAACTGGGCCTCTTCCCCAGACCAACTCTCACAAACAACCTGGAAATAAACTGCTATATTAGTGTTGTGGTATGGAGTCCTGGTGTGGTACTGTAGAAAAAGCACTAGATTGCTAACCACAAAGTCAGCAGTTCAAACCCACCCGCCACTCCTTGGAAACCCTATACAGGGTTGCTATGAGTCAGAACCAACTCAACAGCACTTAACAACACAGATACTGGAATAATTCGTTTCAAGGGTTCTATAATGTACACCAGTCGCTCTTCGGAAACCCTGTATAGGGTCGCTATGGGTCGGATCCGACTCAATGGCACTTAACAACAACAACATAATGTACACCAATAGTCATTGTAA